TCCTTCAGAGAATGGATATTCAAGGTCTACAGAACCATCAAGTCAGATTTGCAGTTTGCCGTAGACGACTATCCAGACTCTACTGTGGACTAATCTTCTGTAATAGATAGTCCTGAGCAACAATTTTGTATTTCTTTCAATTTTATGTAATTCTTTTCAGAGGATGAGTTTTATCTCCTCTTGTAATTCTTTCAATTAGTCATTTCTTGCATTCATTTGTCCATTTTTTACTTTTTCATACTTAGGGGGAGATTATTAACTCCAATATTTACTTAATGTAAAAGTATGAAAAAGTATTCTGCAAGTGTTGACAGAAGGGTATCTTCCACAGAAGACAACAGAGGATCATCAACAGAAGCTGTTTGATAGTGCAAGTCAAGAATGACAGAACCTCTGTTGTCTCTCACAGAGGTTCTGGAAAATGGTCCTCTGGCAATAAGAACCTACAAGTCTTCTACAGCAGAGCCTCTGAGCTGGCTAACAGAGGGTATGCGGATTCATCTTCTGTGAAGATCCTGTTCTGTTGTTTTTCGAAGGTTGTTAGCTGCACGTGCTTCTCACGTGACTAGGTCTTTAATCGACTTTATTTGGACGGCTTGGATGATTTCACACGTCTAGATCATGTCAGAAAGGTCGTTAGGAACTAGTATAAATAGCAGCTTAGGCCTTTGTAATTGTGTGTGCTTCCATATTGTAATTGTCTTATTTTCAATGAATTGAAAAACCTTTGAAGCTATTCTATTGCGTTCATCTTCTTCATATCAATCTGTGTGTTCTTGGTTAATTATTCTGTTGTGTTCTTATCATTGTTTCCGCTGCACTATAATCGTTCTAAAGATCATCCAGAGTAAGAGATCAAATATCAAATCTGAATTTACAGGTCCTAACACGATTGACTACAGCTCTGGAACGACAACGTCAAGAAATGGAGCGACGCTTTGAGGAAGAACGTAATCAAAACAATCCCATGGAACCCGAAAATCGTGGTAAGCATTCAAACGAAGTCGGAGATGCACTGAAACCTAAGTCCGACCGGATTTCATTTAAAACTTTCAGAAGCTGTGGTGCTATAGAATATGCAGGGCAATCAGATCTCGAAATGGCGATGCAATGGATCCAGAACACGGAAAAGGTGTTCCGAATTACCGAGGTACTTGATAGTGATAAAGTAAAATATGCATCTGCGATGCTCATAGAGCGAGCCCTGGTGTGGTGGAATGCCACGTATGAGTCTTTAGACGCGACGACACGTAACAGTTTGACGTGGGACGAATTTCAGAAAAAGTTCTTTGAACAATATTGCCCTGTTGACCTACAAAGGCGTCTTGAAAAGGATTTATTGGATCTGAAGCAAGGTAAGATGACTATACTTGATTATGAAACTGAATTCAACAAGAAGGAACGATTCGCACAACGATTCCTGAGCTCCGAACAGGATAAGATCGAACATTTCATTGGAGGACTACGGAAGGAGATTCGAAGTTTTGTGGTGAGTCGTGATGGTTCTAGTTTTAGCAAGATAGTCGAATACGCTCGATGTTGTGAGTATGAATTATCCATTCCTGATAAAAATGAACCGATGTCGAAACGTCCACGAACTGAGAGGATGATGTCTACCCCAACACAACGGTTCTCTCGATTTTCCAACCAGAGGAGAATTCAATCTCAGAGTACCCCACGTGTATCCTCTCAGGCATTTAGCCTTCAGTCGAGCACACCAAGAGACTGTCGGAGGTGCGGAAAGACACACAAAGGCCGGTGTGATACGGATAGATCTGTCATTAAATGTTTTTGTTGCGGTGAAGCGGGTCACGTTAGGATGAATTATCCCAGAGAGATCTTGCATGCTTTTCCTGCAGAGTGTTAGGGCATCATATTAAAGATTGTCCCCGTATAAAAAAGATGAAAGCAAAGCCTCGGTACAACAACCAACGAGAGTGGGTACTTCAACCCAAAAGGACAAGGTGCCCAGGGCACGAGCCAGGGCTTTTCAAATCACAGCAGAGGAGGCATTGAAGGAACCAGACGTCATAACAGGTATTTTCCTTCTCAATGATAGACCTGCATGTATTTTATTTGACTCGGGAGCCACAAATTCTTTTGTGTCACTTTATTATACTCAGTACCTCGATTCTGTGCCAATCATGCTTGAAAAACCTTTTAATGTCGACACTGCGAATGGAGTAACACTCGTAGCTGATAAAGTTTATAAAGACTGTAAATTAGACTTAGATGACCATGAGTTCACGGTCGATTTGATTCCAATGGATATTCATAACTTTGATGTGGTAATTGGTATGGATTGGTTGACGAAGAAACGAGCAGATATCATTTGCTCGCGGCAAATGATACAAATTCCGATGGAAAATGGAGAATTCTTATATGTCTATGGTGAACGACGAGTGATCGACCTTAAATTAATCTCCGTACTCAAGGCTCGACATTATTTAACTAAAGGATACTCGTCTTTCTTAGCGTATGTTCTAGATTCGACAAAGGAGGTGAAGAAGAAGACTCTGGACAATGTACCAATAGTACGTGAATACCCGGACGTGTTTCCTGAAGACTTGCCTGGATTGCCACCAGATAGGCAAGTGGAGGTTAGAATCGACTTGATACCAGGTGCAACACCGATAGCGAAGACTCCTTATCGTCTAGCGCCTCCAGAAATGAAAGAAATGATGGATCAACTACAAGCGCTATTGGATAAAGATTTCATACGACCGAGCACTTCACCATGGGGTGCTCCGGTGTTGTTTGTCAAGAAGAAAGACGGATCTTTCCGGATGTACATCGATTATCGTGAGCTGAATAAGGTAACAATTAAGAATAAGTATCTGTTACCCCGTATTGATGATTTATTTGATCAGCTTCAAGGTGCAAGGTTCTTCTCCAAGATTGATCTCAAATCAGGTTATCACCAGCTAAAGGTATGGGAGGAGGATGTACCTAAGACTGCTTTCCGTATGAGATATGGGCATTATGAATTTCTAGTGATGCCTTTTGGTCTCACAAATGCCCTAGCTGCGTTTATGGACTTAATGAATCGAGTATGTCATTCGATGCTCGATAAGTCTGTAATTGTATTCATTGATGACATTCTTGTGTACTCGAAGTCTGAGACCGATCACGCAACACACCTTCGACAGATGCTGGAGTTGTTGAGAAAAGAACGACTTTATGCTAAATTATCAAAATGTGAATTTTGGCTACATCAGGTACAATTCTTGGGACATACCATGTCCGGTGACGGTATGTCTGTGGATCCTGCCAAGATTGAAGCAATGCAAAAATGGGAGCAACCCAAGAATGCCTCAGAGATTCAGAGTTTTCTCGGCCTAGCAGGATATTACCGACGTTTCATTCGTGATTTCTCTAAGATTTTTGTTCCTCTCACTTCCCTTACCCGCAAATATGCAAAATTTGTGTGGACCAAAGATCAAGAAAAGGCATTTCAGACTTTGAAAGATTGTTTGACACACGCACTAATTCTTTCTTTACCTGAAGGTAGTGAGGATTTTGTAGTTTATAGTGATGCCTGACGATTAGGACTTGTTGGACCGGTAACTGCACTAGGGAGCCGCCCACGTGATATTGTCCGCTCTGGGCTGCCCCGGGGTTTCTCCGCACGGCAACAACCCCTCACGGTTTTGTTTTCTAAAACGCGTCACTGGTAGGAGAAAACTCCCACTTCCTTATAAGGAAGAGAAGACTCCCT